GCCTTAGAATGTAGCTGAACCTGAAAATCTGAATGTGGCAGAAAATGAATTGCACATCTCATCAGCATTTACAGAATAAAGGATCACAGTGTTAACTTACAATAAGCAGTAAGCGGTTTTTACATTCTAGGCTCTGAAAGGATCTTGCTTACATACTACAGTAAAGTTTCAAAGACGAACAAATTAACTTTTCGGCAAAAGCTTTACTTGAGTGTATCTTGGCTTCCTGTTTGACAGTTTCAGCCTTAATGTGCTGGTAATGTTTTCTTTTTCTAGGAATCAGATAATCTTGTATTTAGAAAAATATTTTCGGTGAACATTTTATTTTTTAATGGCAACTTGTATTTTGTGAAATACAAAAGTTTAAACAGTTTATGAGAACTGACCATCACCACCCACATGTAAGATTATACAGGAATGGAGGAATTTTGGCCGACTTCTTGTATATATTGTTCAGCCAAAGCAGATGGCAGCCTCTACCATTTACAGTGATCTAGAGGTCTGAAGTAACACTTTTAAATGCAAATAATATTAAAATTGGCACTATATAAAGTATATTACATACTGTGTTGACAGACTATATAGATTTATGTTTCCTCCGTTTGTAAGGATGCACCCATTATAGAAATTCTGCACAAAATTACCAAGATCACTTTTTCCCTTTTCTCCTTTTAAAAATTCATTTATTTTAATTTTTAATAGTGAGAATCATTAGCATTGGGTAAACTCGCACCAATTACTGGAAATGCTGAGAGTCTTTTTGAAAAGTACAGAAGAAAATAAAAGTACATTTCTCTCATGTTAAGTGATTTGAGGAGCTGATAGGCCTCTGTCTAGCTGGACCCTGAAGGGATGGAAGATTAAGCACCAGGCACAGGACACAAGGGAACAGGCTCCCAACCTGAGGTCTTTCCATGGACAGCAGAGCTCCTGGCAGGCTCTTAAGAGATTAAATCTGGGCTTGTCTGTGGGTGGGCCCTCAGAGGAGAATGTTTGCTGAAATGGCCAGAGAATAGACAGAATTCTTCCCTGATAATAACTGATGTTTACCATGTAAACTTTTTTAATAAACCTCTGGAAAGAATTATGTATAATCTGTATAGGAATCAGCTCTGGACAAGCAATGCGGCCTTCTCTAGAGAGCCCTACAGACAGTGTCTCGGGCGACTGTGAAATTGGTTCTCTCCGAGAGCCAGCCGGCCCTGGTCTGATAGCCCTGGGTAAGGAAGGCCAGATAAGATGCTTTGAAGACTCTCAGCTGCATTGAGAAGCAAAAATCCTGCATACACTTGGTTGTTCTGTAAGAATGGCCGGCCGGCCTTCCTTTACAGGCTAGTCAGTTAAGACTTGGGATGAGCCTAATTGCCGCTTCCCTGGAATGGAAGAGGGAGACTGTAACACTGATTTAGGGCTGGGATTTTGCAGGTTACGATAAGCACATAAAGAAGACTAAAGATTCTAGCAAATTGGCTTTTTGCTCTCTCTACAGTCAGAATAATGTAACGAGCAGACAGTCTCACCCCCAACTTTTTTTCCGTGTTTTCTATCTATAATAATTCTCTCTCGAAAAACAATTCTCTCTATAAAAATTTCAGCCTTTTGTCTTTGCGCTTTGTTCACGGTCATCTTCATGAATTCTTCCACTTGACCACTTTCACGTTGTCACAAGGCTAGCTCTGCCGTCTTTATTATAGACTCAGTTTTGGAATTTCGTTTTCTTGTCCATGCCCTTTGCCATTTCTTAGTTCTAGTTCTTGCTGTATCTTGCGTTTGAAAACCTTTGAAGCTTATGGAGTATGTCAGTTCTTTATATTCTCATACTTTTATTACCTAAGTGCCCCCAATGATCACTGTTCAAAAAATAAGTAAAATACATAATAACAATATACTCTAAGAAGTCGGCTACTTATAAAGTGAGGTGCAACTCCAAATTTTTCTCCATTTCACATAGCCAACTGTTTTGTCTACCTCGCTTTAGTTGGCAAAGCCGGTTTATCAATGATTTGTGGATGTTTTAACCCACACGATACAAATGCAATGGAAGGTGAAATTGCCCATCTTGCAGAAGTTGTAGAATTTCCTGAAGTCAGGGATGGTGATGGTGGAGAACCTGAACTACATGAGAAGCGATTAATGAGCACCTGACAGAGTTAATTTGGTAAGGATGATGATATGACAGATATGTTAAGGAGATTGACTTGCATATCAAAGAATTGTCAGAGACCACTGGGAAGTGGATGGAGTTCTCAAATACTACAGAAATTTACCATGTTTTTATAAAAGGGGTTGTATATCATGGCATTATATACTTTTCTCTGAAAATCTGCACTGATGAAAGTTAACACCAGTCTTTTATTTTTAAGTACTCAGTGAAAGATATGGTTATTGATTTTAGAGAGAAGAAGGGAGAGAGAGAGAACTATCAATCAGTTGCCTCCTGAATGTGCTCTGACTGGAAATCAAACTCACAGCCTTTTGGTGTATGGGATGACACTCCAACCCACTCAGCCACTGGGCCAGGGCTAACATGAGCCTTTTTATTTTTAATATTTAAAAGATAAAAAAAATAGTTTATTGATTTTTAGAGAGAGGAAAGGAAGAGAAGTATTGATGTGAGAGCACAACATCCATCAGCTGCCTCCTACACCCTCCTACTATGGACAGAGCCCCCTACTGGGAAAAGGAGAGCCCTGTTTATATACCAGGATAACTAAAAATACTTATTTTTTATTTGTTATTCCTCACCTGAGGATTTTTTTCCATTGATTTTTTTTCACAGAGAGAGTAGAAGGGAGAGAGGGAGGAGAGAGAGAGAGAGAGGGAGAGAGAAACACTGATGTGAGAGAGACACATCCATATTGGTTGCCTCCCGCACGTGCTCCGACCAGGGCCTGGGAATGAATCTGCAACCCAGGTGTGTGCCCTTGGATGGGAATGGAACCTGAGACCCTTTGGTGCCCAGGCTGATGCTCTAACCACTGACCCACATGGGCCAGAGCTAAAATATACTTATTAATGCTTAAGGGTCACTTTCAAGGTTATGCTGGCAAAATGAAAATAATCTATATATTTTACTAATCAAGGCTAAGGAAGATATACTGAATGGCACTTTTTATTGGGATGAATTTGGGTGCTAGCTTTCTGGCTTCTGGTCTTTTCTTATTCTCACTAGAATCATAAGTCGAAAATAGAATTAAGTTCAGTGGTCAAGCAGAGTATTAGAAATTGTTTATTATAGCTACTTCTTTTACCATGGACAATTTAGAGAATATATGGCATGATTTCCCAAGCTACACATTGCAAACTTCCATCTTTTGTGTAGACATTGGTAAAAAATAGTGACTTAAGGTGTTTATATTTGTGTGTAGTTGTATATGAATACCTATACTTATATATAAATTAAAAGCGCCTCTCAGAATTTTGCCTATTTAAAGTGTGTTACATTCTTTTATTATTTAAAATGTAAATTAGTTTTCTCTTTAATTTCTTTCAACAATAAGGGCTACTTGGTATTTTTTGATTATAGGGAAATAAAGTACCCTGTGTAGGGCTGTGGCTCAGAAGTTTCGAGTTCTCTTTACCTCGCAGCAAGTATTATAATCTTCAGGAAGTTAAATGCTGTTGTAGCAAAAGATAGTTTCCAGGGAAGGAGTAGTGGGGTAGGGTTAAGACTATTAAGTTGATGACTTTTTATACCCATAAAAAACCCTAAATCTGAAGACTTTTAACAAATACAGCCATAGCGCCAAGCTTGCTTCATTTATAGTATATACCCATTTCCAGTGGAAAAACTGCACATGGGTTAGGTATTTGTTTTGGATTTAAGAAGAGTAAAGAAAATTTTGTTGTTGTTGGGTGGACTTTGATTGGATCCAAAGTTTAACCTTAGAGCTTAGTTTATACTTACTGTCATCTCTGCATTGCCTCTTAACTGTCCTCCCACAGAACGTAAAGGGCAGGTGTGGGGGTGGCCTCAGGGCACCGGGCGGGAAGGGAGCAGATGTGCGTGCCTGTGGACAGTGGCTCATGGTGGCTGCGATGCCATCCTGTTGGAGATGGCCTGACACTCCCTGGAGAAAGGGCCCTCGGCCTTGACCTCTGTCTCTGGGCAAACCCAGGTTAGTGTGAGGGCAGTCTGTCGCTGTAGCTTCCCGCAGCTGGAGTTTGCCCCCGCTTCTCTCCTACCTCCAGCTATTTCCCTTTTCCTCTTTTTTTGTAAAAAAACATTTTCTTTGATCTTAGAGAGAGACAGGAAAGGAGAGTGAGGGGGGAGAGAGAGAGAATGAATCATCAATATGAGAGAAACATGGATCAGTTGCCTCCAGGGACCGAACCTGCAACCTGGGCACCTGCCCTGACTGGGAATTGAACCTGCGACCTTTCTGTAGACAGGACGATGCTCAGCTGACCGAGCCACACCAGCCAGGGCTTTTTCGTTTTGTTTCCCCCCCCCCCTATTTACTCATCTGTTACTCATATTTAACTTACCCACTCACCTTCCCCTTGTTTTTCCAGCCAGAGTATTTCTTTCCTTGAAGGATTCCCGGTTGGTTGTATATATACCTTGGGACAGGGGGGTACTGTTNTTTCCTCCCCTATTTACTCATCTGTTACTCATATTTAACTTACCCACTCACCTTCCCCTTGTTTTTCCAGCCAGAGTATTTCTTTCCTTGAAGGATTCCCGGTTGGTTGTATATATACCTTGGGACAGGGGGGTACTGTTCAGACCTGAGGGTGACCCACACATGGGCACAGTTGTTACCAGCCCTCTTTATAAATCGTGGAGAGCCACAAGGCATCACTTTCTTCAATGCCTTGGCAAAGTATTAAAATCAGAGTACACATGGTACATGTGGCCTGACATGTGTGCCTGAGACGTGCGCTCGTGCCCATGTGGATAGCTGGACTATTCAGATCTGTGTTGCTAATTCTGCCTTTTGAGCAGCATACTGGGAGCGGCCCCCCTTTCGCACTCAGCCCTGCCTCTGTGCCCGCAGGAAGCTTCAGACGTCGGGGCCGAGGGACAGGCCACTGTGATCCAGCAGCTGGAGCAGACCATCGAGGACCTGAGGACCAAAATAGCCGAGCTGGAGAGGCAGTGCCCGGCCGCGGGCCTGGAGGCGGCCGGCGCCCGTCTGGGGGTTCAGAATGGAGAGGCGCCCTCGGAGGACCTCAGTCTCGAAGCGCCCGGGTCGGGAGACGAGCTCGGGCGGCACCCACGGACCGTGCAGACGCTGGCCATGCAGACGCGGACCGTGCAGACGCGGGCCGTGCAGACGCGGACCG